AATTATTAATAATTTTATTAATTAAAACTTTAGAATAACTTTATTTTAATATATCATTGTAAAAATTAAAAAAAAATATATTCGATTCAATTCGATTCAATTCGATTAAATATTTGATTTGATTTGATTTGATTTGACAAATATTTAATTCAATTTGATTTGATTCGGTCAAATTCAAATTGATTCAAATTGATTCAATCAAATATTTGAGTTTAATTTGATTCAATTCAATTCAATTCAATTCAATTTGAAAAAATCAAATTAAATTCAAATTGCTTAAATATTTGATTCAATTCTATTTTGAGGAACCCTAACCAAAGGTAAATCCCTTAAATAATGATAAGTCTTTAAGGGAAAGTGTGAATTAATGTCTACTAAAAATTTACGAGATACGTCTGACTTAGTCTTGAGAATTATTTCAAAATTTTTCTTTTGTATTTTCAGATTCTTAAGCAAATATTCCTAACTAGCAACCCATTTATAATTTTTAATTAGAAGGAACTGACCCATAGCTCAACTATAAAATTGTTTAAATCAATATATAAGATCTATATTGTAGATTAGAATAGATCAAATGCATTTTAATGTTTAGGTTATTTGCTTAAAAATGTTTATACATTGTTATAATAATAATACCACTATACTTAGCTTTTTTAGTGAAGTTATGCTTAGCCATTTCTGTGAATAGCTTGATTTTGACCTTAATTATCTAAAGCATAATATTCTATAATAATGATGATACAGATATATAGTGGCTGAGATCAAGGCTATAATAATGTATAAATATTTTTTAGAACTTTATTCAAATATTTGCTAGATTAAGTACATCTATTTTAAAATAAAGATCATTATATTTACCTAAGTTCCTATATCTAAATTCCTACTATATCTTCTGAATATAAATATAATTTTCTTGGATAATCTTTTTACCAAAAATACTATAAAATTCATGAATCGATAGAAATTCTATTTTTACAAATCGATCATAAGAATCAATATATTTGTAAAAAAAAGACTCCTTTATGACATATTTAAGAAATCTGTTTGAAAGAATTGCCTTAATCTTTAAAAGACTTAATTATTATTGGATGATCATCACCTAAATTCTTCGTAAAAATGACCAAACTTGAATCTATAAACTGCATACTATCTATATATTTAAACTGAATTAATATCTTCATAGCTTTATATTATTCAAAGGTTTCAGCAATAATAGTGATTTGATATGTATTAACTGAGTATCCAATAGATTTACAGACCAAGTAAGAGTTATATAGATGGTATGCTATTAAAATTGAGGTATAGATTATATAATTTACTATATCTCATATCTTAATTTTAATAGAATACCATCTATATCTCAGAAGTTATAAAAGATAATAGGGATTAGTGTCTTTTATAGCTTATTTGGAGTTTAAGATTACAGAAATTATACAAAATTTCATGAAAATTATCTATAATATAATAATGATTTCAAATCTTCTTATCTCTGGATTCAGATTGAAGAATGATAGGAAAGGCTTACATATTTGAAATTGGTTTTAATGATAATTCCTTTTTTAACATGAATTCTTTCTTTTAGATACTTTATTTGATTACAAGTCTTTATGAAATCATCTTTACCACAATAAGAATAAGACAGAATTATTTTGGTTATAAGTGTTAGAATTTAGTTGTTTATATTAATATATAAAAACTTTTATTTAAAATAAATTATTTATTTCTTTAGATCAGAAAAATTTAGAATATTAAATTAAATTATTTAACTATGAATGAAATGAATAGATAAGGTTTGTATTACTTTAACTAGCTCTGAGCCTAACTTATATAGGAAATATATTAGTAGATTTTATATATCCTAATATGTCAATAGATTTTAGAATAAGGCTCAAAAGCTTCAAATTTATGAATTTCTTTAGATTAGATTCTTTCTTGTATCTTTGACATTATAGAAGAAAGTTAACTTTAATTGATTAATCTGATAGTTTATCTAATTAGCTTAATCAGATAATTTTCTTTTTCAAATGAATATAAGAAAAAAAAAGTAATCCTATTTGCCTTATATATTAGTATACTTTAATTAAGAGTAACATATAAGTCAAAAAAATATAACATCTATATTCGTTTTACTCTAAAAAGCTTATTTGCTATATTTTTTCTTCTAAAAGTATCTGCATTAAAGATGGTACAGCAATTGATTTCAAATTTACAAAATGTTGCAACATAAGCTAAAATTAGTTGCAACATATATAGGTTAAAACTAATTGCAACGTAAGTTGCAATATTAAAAGTTGCAACATATTAATTACAGTTCCCATCTTTAATCTGCATCATCCTAAATGTTTATACTTTTGTCTTTTTTTTAGCTACCTATATATAGTATACTATTAGGAGAATAATTTTTTTTACACATATGTGAAATTTTATCTTAGTATTCATGTTAATAAAGCAATCTTAGAAAGGTTTCCTATATATAAAAATTAAATCTGTATGCTAAAATATGCTTTAAAGTTTTTAAATATACTTGTTTACAAATAAAAAATATACACATAATCCAATTTTTTTTACACTTATGACAAAAATTTATTCTAGTATTTATAATAATAAAGAAATTTTAAAAGGTTTTTTATATATCAAAAATACATTTATATACTAAAATATGCTTTAAAGATTTTTTATTTACTTATTTATAAATAAAAAAAATACATCTATAATGAAAATTTTGTCTTAGTATTTATAAAATAAATTGGTTCTAAATAGGTTTCTTATATAGTGAAAAAATCTGTATGAAAAAAATATACTTTAAGATTTTTTAACTTTTTTATTTATATACAAAAAAATACATTTATGACAAGCATAGATATTTTTTTTTGATATTATTTTTATTAATAAATCACTTTTAAAATTAATTCTATGATATAATGACAAGTATTTTAGTATTAAAAATAGAATAATATTTTAAAACTCTAACTTATAACTAAAAAATGAATGCTTGCTTTTTATGTAATATTTTTTAATTGTTTATGAGTTCTTACATCATAAAAATATACAAGAATTATAAACTCTAAAAATGCCAGCTGAAACTCCCTCAAAATAATTTCGTCATATCCCTTACTATGTTTTTAATATAGTTTTAGCTAATTTTGGGTTTTGGGGTTTCGTCGTACCCCTCACTATGTTTTAATATAGTTTCGGCTGTTTATTAATTGTCTTTTTTGAGTTTCGTCCCTCATCTTTAATAAACTCAAATATTTCATCACTTCATTTCTCAATATTTTCGTTTATTTCTAAAGGCAAGTAATATAGCATATATTTTTTGATATATTATTAGGAATTAAAATCGGGCTAGAAAGATCATATTAATCAGTATAATTTTTAGTATTTGAAGGCTTAATTCTAAGCTAAGGAGGATACCAGAATCTTTGAATAATAGAATATGAACCCAGCTTGATTTTAATCCTGAATTCTATATATAAGGATTCATATTGTTAAAATAGCTTCAGGTCTATAATTGGAGACTTTATAGAATACCTTTTCTAAAACCCTCAATTTTGTTATAGTAATATTTCAATAAATGATAAATTAAATATTATTAAAAACTAATCAAATTCATTAATTTCTATAACTTATTTTATTCTTTTCTATTATAAAAATCATTTAAAATTTATTATAGGTTAGCTTATATATAAATTATACTATTTTTTTATAAATTAATATAAAATAAAATTTATATAAATTTATAACTTTATGCAAAACTTATATAAAATAAAATTTATATAACTTTACAATTTATAAACTTATATAATATCTATAATTTTGTGATTTTATACAATTTATATAAAAAAAAATATATATATATAATTTTATATGTAATCTTATGGTTAAAAATAATCATATATATTTTAACCAACTTATAAAATAGATTTAAATGTAAAAGTAAATAGAAGAATCCTTAATATTATTTTTTAAAAAAATATAAAAACAATATATTAAACTTATAAATAAAAAATATATCGACAATCAAAATCATGATAATAAATTGATTTTAATTAATTTTTTAGGATTTAAAATAGTCTGAGAAAATTTTTTTCGAAAAATAGATTAACTAAAAGTTATTCCGTTATTTTAAGGAGATATGATAAATTTAGAAAGTTGCACAGATAAAAGCCACATTCTTCGCCAAAATAAACAATATTTCGGAATTAAATTTCAAATTCACCTAAAAATCGGTTACACATCTACATCTTTAAAAAATTTTGCGATTATCATGTTTGTAGTAATTTTTAATTTCACAAGTATTTTTTTCTAAATAAAGTAACTCCGTTAATTTGCTATTATTTCTTTTTTAAAATTTTTAATTACTTAATGTTACAATATATAAAAAAAAAAATAAAGATGAAAATTTTTGCAATAAAATGATTGCGCTCTTTTACATTTGTACAATACAACTAAAAACGTTTGCAACTATCCCCTACAGAGTGATATTACATACAAATTCCATTTTGATAGTTCATTTCTACTAATAATACTACTAAAATGTTAAAAGTCTAATGTGCATGAAATATTATTTATACATTGCTATATATTTTTTTTCTCCTTTTTTGCATTTGTTTAGCAAGAATCAAGAATGGCTTTTTTATTTACAACCAATCAGATTTTTGAAAACCTGCAACAAGTTTTATATATATAAATCCATATTTGGACATATATTATAATTTTCACACTAACTTGAAAGAGGTCGATTCGACCATATCTGTTCCGATTCGACCTGAATCTTCTATCAACATCAAATACTTCAGGAAGAATCTTCATCTTCCAACAATCTCAACCAAAAGTTGACAACTACAGCAATTAATAGTATCCCGCAAAGGAATGTGGGTCCATATCGATCATCGTATGATCCAGATTCTTTCTTTCTGATTTTTTTTGCACGCCAAAGGTAAGTTCCGAGAGAATATAACATCACCATCATTGCAACAGCAGTGAACATAGCCGCTGCAGTTACAGAAATTTTATCACCAAAGTTCAATAATCCGACTGCGAGACCACCCAGAATCACTGTAAAATTTAGCCATGATAAGAAGGTTCTTTCATTGGCAAAATAAACTTTTGGTTCTACGCGAACGGGAATCGCTATTCTCTTTCCTTGGTAAGTTATAGGAACCTTTCCAGCAGGTGTAGTTGCCGCTAAATATTCTTCCAGTTCTTCAAGTGAAGAAATTTGTGGTCCATTTCGTGATCGAACATCATGACTTGAAGAATCAGCTCGTGCAAGTAATGGTGTTCCTTCAGACACTTCATCATCATCTTCTTCTTCATCATCATCATATGGACGCTCGATTAAAACCTCAATGTTATCATCCTCAGTCTCAGAGAGTGGATTCCCATTCTCATAAGCTGGCGTCGTTGGATTGCTGGCGGAAGGACGTTGAAGGCGGAAATTGCTTGGTGGTTTACGAATATCGATATCCATTTGTGGAAGCCAGAAGGGCAATAACTGGATTCGACGATTCTCCATAAGAGTGGCAACACCATGAACAAATTTTGAGAATTTAGGAACAGCTTCAACCTGTCATTAAAACATAAATTTATTATAAACCAACATAAATATTTTTTTATTTTCACCAGAATATTATTAACTTACCAAATGACTCTGGACTAATTCTTTAACCCATTCCGGCGGTTCTTGCCCAAGTTGAGTTTGCAATTTAACTTCCAGAATAGCATAAGGGAACCTCTCGATATCACTATCAGGTAATTGTGAAAATGGATAATCTATTCCGATATCCATTCTACGCCAGTTATCACCAGATCGGAGTTTTGAATTATTTTCGAAATTATCCTCCCGAATCATAGATAACTCGGTATCGAGTGATATACGAACACGTGCATCACCCGGCAATTGGAAAGCCGTACGGTTATAGAAGGTTCGAACCGCTAATTTAATGTTAATGATGTTAAACCACAATATAATATAATTGTCATAAAAATGTTTATAGAAAGTGAACATACCTGGTTTAAGTTTTCTGGTAAGAACACTATATTGCACTTCAGAAGCGAGTTGAATGAGACCTTCAATTTCCTTGTCACTCTTTCCTTTTAGTTTTAATTTATTAAATGTTTCATCCATAGTATATTGCCCATGAAGATATCTATTTACGTATTTCTCCTTAATGTGGAAACGCGCTTTCACCGATTTTTCACCGGTCCAATCCTCGCGATGTGTTTTACGTTCAACAAAGATTTCCCTGTTATCCATTCCACCATACCACCTTAAACGAATCGCTTCGGCTCCTTCAGACTTTTCCAATCGACCAAGATAAAGGTCAAAATTTTCGTTATCAAAATATATTGAGGAGATGGCCGAGTCTGCAGACTCGAACTCTTTATTAGGATTAAATACTAATACGGGAAGATGTTTCAGAATCAAAAGTTTGAGTTCCGTAATATTATCCGGATGAACCCAATATTTTGTGGTATTACGAACAAAATTTTGTTGTTGACCGCCGGCAGAAGAGTTACCCGTAACTGGATTACCACGAGTACGAACAATGTCATAGAGACGCGATAATTTAACGATCAACGCATCATAATTTTCCTTATAAAAAGGTTTGGCATTCAATCGAACCATAAACATAGGTTTTAATATCCATTTGGTTTGTTTCTAAGTTAATTAATAAAAAAATAATCGGTAATTAAATAAAATAATGCGTTTATATTACGGAGGCGCAGTCGGTAAATGAAAGGAATTGACATATATGGAAATCTAACCCGTTGTATAAATAGAATTTTAAAAAAAAATTATAAATTTTCTTACATCATGTTTCTTGATAATTTTCAGGAAACCTGAATAGTTCAACCGAGTGAACTTGGCAAGGTCATGAACATCAGCGATTATATTTGAAAGTTCTTCTTCGATTTCAAGATAATCTTCTTCTTTCGCAACCTTTGTTTCCGTGACGTCGTTTATGACTTTCTCACTATGTTGAATTCTCCTGTTTATTTCCCCGGACTTTACAGTTTGGAAAGTGAAAACTTTTTCAAGTTCTTTCTCAAGTAACTCAACAAAAGAGGTCTCGTCGTCTTCACTCCAATGTCCACCATGGGTTCGAGTTTTTAACTCATGTTTAAGGTCGTCATAAGCCAAATAGTAGAAGGTCCATTCTGGATACAGAGAAGTTTTTAAGTGGTGACCAAACTTCATTATGCTCTGATAATATCTTTACTGTAATACTATATCTTTATTGTAAAGAAAAGTAAAATCCACACTTTACAATAAAGAATGATAAAACATTGAACGACGATTGTAGATAAAAAAACTGCTGTCGCATATATATACTTTTTGCTCCAAACTTTATAAAGTTGTTCCGAACAAATATAGTAATACGCCAAAATAACGCCACACAAATCTATTTCATATACCTAGAACAAAACAACGAGGGAGAAAACGCCTATTGTTTAAAAACAAACAATGGATTTTTAATGATTTAAAAATTTCGAATGATCTATAAATTTAGTTTAAACTGTTTGAATACAGCTTAGTCAATAGAAAAAAATGGTAATATAGTTATTTCATTTTCCAACCAAATATCTTTTTCGAAAAAAATTTATAAATAACACGCGAGATAACCCAATTGCAATTGGTTGGATTGAGATGTTAAAAAAAAAAAGAAGCAATGCAAAAAAAAAGGTAGTGGAACGACCAAAAAGGTTTTAGTTTGACCCTCGTGACAATTGCCAAATTCTAATATCCAATCAAATCTGCAACAATTTAAAATTATTATGAATGATGAACAAAAAATTATCCGGAAAATACAAGTTTACATTAAACGTAGTCTTTCAATCCGCGCCAATCTTATGATCTAAATCAAATGATGCAAATGAATTTTTAAATTATTCCGAAAAATAATCCGTATAAGCGAAATTTGTTTGCTGATTTGGAATGGCGTATATAAAATCATAAAATAATTTGGAATTGCATATTATTTTATTACCTTTTAGCGATAAAATTGTCGTTTTGGAACGTGGAGAATACATTTAGTATCGTTATTGTCAAATTACATATTTAAATTAATATCGGTTATATGATTTGCGCGGTAAATGAAATTACTTGCATTTTCAATTATGAACAGACATTCGTATAATTCTATCTGAACGTAGTGGTATGTACGGCATACACGATCTATTGATCGGGACTAATTTCAAAATAAAAAAATTTTTCACGGATTTTTATTTATCTCGGTTTCATATAAAATCCGGTAACCGGCTTGCTTTCTGACATCGATTTGCTTATCTAAGAAGATAACAATTTACTAATTTATATATATTTTAGTATTTGCATTTATTTTTCTTCACGACTATTTTTTTATTAAAAAAAAGTTATTATAATATGATCTGATCTACAAATTCATACCACAGAGAAGTTTACGCACACGATCGTAACCGTTGAATATCTCAAAATCTAGTGATTCAAATTGGATCAAAATTTAATAATTATAAACACAATCTAATCCTATAACTTATAAAAATTTGAGCTAATTCGAATCACTAGTTGCTGAGAATTTCGATATAAATGATAGTAATAAATTCTATATAATATATTCGATTTCTCAACAAACCTGTAATAAAATTAACTCATATTTTATGTTAAATAATTAGATTGTTTTAATAACATATTTAAATTTGGTCTGATTTGATTCACTAGATTTTGAGGTAATGTTCGTGTGTGAAAACTTTAATTTAAATTCTCATCAATCCCTTTGCTATAACCTGTTTTTTTTATAGAAATAGCTCTTCAATGTTTTTGCTTCCAAATTTAAATGGAATTTTACTTACTAATTAAAGTTAATTTTAGATATATTAAAAATTAGTTATAAAATTTTTATAATAAAATTTAAAGTAAAATCAAAAAATTAATTTATATTAATTAGTAACTTTTTGCAATAATTTAAGATCAAAGTTTTGAATATTTTTTAATAAAGTATTTTCTTTATAAAAGCTAAAATTTATAATTTTTATTTATTTTTATATTATTAAAAAACTATATAAAATATAAATTTTATATTTAAAACATTTATTTATATATTTAAATATTATTTATTAATAAAAAAATCATAAATTTAAAGTTGAAAATTTTGTATATATTTAATGTTTAATTATTACAATGAAATTCTAAGTTTTTATATAGAATTTTGCATAATAATTGATTGAAAATCATGATCAAATTGATTAAAAATCAATATTCTATATTTAAGAGATAATATATAAAATTATGTTTAATTTGAATTGCTAAATATTGATTAAGAAAATTAATATAAAATATGTTAAATAAAAAAAAATATTTTTTTTTAATTAATCCAAAGTAAAGCCTATTAAAATCAAGTTAATATAATTGATCATTTTTATTACACTTATAGTATAATATTAAATAATATAAAATAATTTTTAATATTATATATTTATATATTTAATTTTTTTTTAAGTTTAATTATAATCTTTAATTAATTATATAAAAAAGATTAAAATTTTTTTTTGTAAATCTGAACTAAAGATGGGAACTGTAATTAATATGTTGCAACTTTTAATGTTGCAACTTACGTTGCAATTAGTTTTAA